ATACATGGGTTTGAGTGTTGAAATTATTCCAAAAACCTAATTATCCTGTCACAAGTAAGCAAGTGTAGTTGAAGTCTCTAACCAATGAAGCGAGGAGATATCCTTGCTTGTTTTCCTCTTTTTCAGCATACTCCCAAGGAGACAACGTTCTGTACACGGGTTTGAAGTGTGAGGATCACAAATGCCCAATCAACTGTGCGCAGTGTTGGAAGCTAATACCATCCGCCGACAACACAATGAACTGGACGCTCGATTGGATGGAGCCATATTTGTACTGTGCAACTGAACTGAACTGAACGTCCTGTGATTTGAATTTGAATATTTCAATTTGAGTTTTGTACATCCTGACCTGACCTACAGGACGAAAATTTGCGCGCTTTTTTTGAAATTTTTGCGCAATGGTAATGTTATCCGATTTTTGGAAGTTTTTCATGTATATTGCCGGTGTTTATGACGCTTCTGTCACTAGGGTGAGCGTAAAGGAACAAACAAATATTATCCCCCGGATTTCAATCCGAAAATACACAAAAACCTCAATGCCTACCATGGAACACATGCCCTTCGTGAACGTGGAAGGAAAGCCGACCAAGGCATTCTTACTATCCGATTTGAAATGCCTTTTAATTGCTTTTGTCTCACGTGTAAAAATCCCATTGGCATGGGAGTGCGGTATAACGCGGAGAAAACGAAAGTGGGCATGTATCACTCAACGCCCATCTACAAATTTACAATGCCTTGCCATTTGTGCGCCGGAACGATAGTTATTCAGACAGATCCGCAAAAATTTGATTATGTCATTCTGGAGGGCGCTCGAAGAAAAAATCAGAAATGGGATCCCGAAGAAAATGAACAGGTCGTCATTGCAGGTGCGTTATTCGTAGGACGACAGGTTGTTATTTGACTTCATTTCATGAGAGTAATTACTGCTTTTCGGACCACACAATTTTCTAGCACTTCGTTTAGCTTCATTTAACTTTCAAATGTATCTGTTAACGTGTTTTATTGCAGAACTGTGGAAGGACGAAGCCGGGTCTCCACAATGAAGACTGTCCGAAGAACCGTTGTATGTTGAGCCGAAATGTTAAATTCTTTGGTTATCAAAAACCAATCTTCCTTTGTAAAGATCTAGAGGTTCTAGAGGCTACCAACAGATGGCTTACATAATGTAGACGAGAATGCACCTTGACGTGGTGTGATGGCTTGTGCACCTCTGTTGCCCAACAAGCTACACAGGATTGCTTTTGTCAAGCCTAAGATCTAATCATACCTGGAAGGTCGAACGGTAGAGGTCGGATAAAGTCCAGTCTTCCGGTCCTCCAGGTTGGGGGTTCGACTGGAATTTGCGTTTCAGTCGGTAAAAAGTGATGGATGAGTAATTGGTCCATGTAAATAGGCCTCCACTTCGCTTCACCCGCTGCATCGCGGCTAGGTTCCTGTCAGAACTAAAGACTTTGGTTGAGAACCCTAATCGCTCTCCTGCCTAATGGCTGAACACGCTATCAGTACCCGTCTATCAAACCCCAATGCATACATAAATTAAAAATATTTCCATAGTTCATCAGTCGTCGCGCAGGATAATCAAGACCGCGCTGCCCATTGCCTTAAGTAAGGTAAGTAGTGATATGTGGGCTGCTGCTCAGACACCCCAACCTTTGTTTAGTTCTTTGTCTTCCGCACTCAGCCTTCTCGATTCGCCCGTTCTTCTGACCTGTAATATTCCCCCAAGCAGTCGCTCAGCGAAGGTC